ACAGAAGCAACTTCGTTGTTCCGAGACGAGCCAAGTTCAGCGTCAGAGTTGGTTCTTTAGACTTCGGACTGGGAATGTGACAATGCGGTCTTGGTAAGGTCCATTGCTGGATAACGAGAATCGTGGTTCCATCCATTCACCATTTACAAGAGTTTACTTCTACGTACCCGCTCTTATAATACGTGTTGCACCATTATACGGATTTATTGTATGGCTATATATTACGAATAATTTGTTTGGTCGGTCGGTACAGAGACTAGGAGCTTTTGGCCGTCATAATTCGACTGTTTGCAGACCAGGTGAAGCTGTAGCCTCGGCTCAAACCACGAGGTGGGCGAAATGAGGTGATTAATTTAATCAAGTGAAACGCGAATGATCTATGAGGGTTATAATTTCTCGATCTTCTGCCGAAATTCTTTCTTTCTGCGTGACTCTGATACGCACTTACCATTGTCAATATCAAAATCCCCCCACCCCCTTCATACGAACCACAAAATTTTACCAAGTGCCGACCTCCTGAGGTCAATGCCGGAATAGAAATTCATATCGAATGCAGTTCGATCCTCTGCTCAAATCTTCTCCTCGCTCACCTTCGAACGCCTTGCCTTCTCCTCACAGCCGTAAACTTCTCCCTTTCCCCACTTAAATGAAAGCCTGTCTCTACTTCGTCTCCTCGTTCATTCGGGGTTTTGGTAAAAGATGGCGGCGAGCAGACACTACAGAATCTACTTCTAGCTGCAGAGTTTCACTTCGTCGAGATTTCGAAGGCGCTCATGAGCTCGTTCTGATTCTCGTTTCAGCAAATTTAAATCTTGCGCCGACCTTGAATCCGACGCTCGTCACTTCGTTTTGAGCGCCTTCGTTCATTTGTCTCAGCAAAGCAAGGAACTGCTGGAATTGCCGGTAGAGGAGCTGCAGGCGATTATCGGGGCGGATGCTCTGAACGTCAAAGACGAGAAGGTCGTGTGGAACTGCGTACTCCGGTGGATCGACCACGACGCAGAGAACAGAAAAGGACACATGGCAGAGCTCCTGAAGAACGTCAGGCTGGGACTAATCGAGAAAGAATTCCTCCAAGAGGTCAGTACGTAAATGTTTACGTGCGGGGAAAGCACGCAAGTCCGAATCCACTTTCGGACGCGTTCGTAAAGCTTCATCGCATCATTCTGCATGTAGCAATTGCAGAACGTCTGAACAGAATGTCATTCTTCTTTGTTTCCTATGAATTGTAATAGACCGGGCAGTACAGGGAAGGCGCATGCGTCGCTTTCGTTCTCCCACGTAGGACAAAACAAGCGACTTCCCCGTGCAGCTTATGCAACTCGCTCAGCTCGCGTGTTATCGCTCACGAGGGACATTGCCTTTGAGCTTTGAGCCAAATAAGACCGAAGCAAGCAGCTCGCATGGGAGAGATAATAAATACATACACAATTTTTTAATGCAACTCAAAATACAGATGTTACTTAAGTCTGTATCTTGCGATTCAAATGATTTTTAATAAAATTCCTTTAGGCCGATTCTAACAATGCTCTCCCTATCTCTGTCACCTGCACACTTGTGAGAGCGACATTACGTAAAACATTAAATTTCTTCTCCTGTGTACGCCATAATCTCTTTCGGTGGGTTTCCCAATCAAAATTGTGTGTTCATCTGTAATGAAACGTCCAAAGATTCACACTGTCTCTTCCTAAATGTTTATAAGGTTTACACTGCACTGTTAAACAGATAAGAAGTCACCCTTATGTGAAGGAAAATGAGACATGGAGACCCGTGATCCACGAGACGCTGGATTTCCTGCTCGACCCTTCAATTGTCTCCGAGAACGCCCGGGAATTTCTGACTCCAAAGTACGAGAGCAAACGAATTCCTATTGACATTCTCTTTGTTATTGGAGGGTCGACCCCTGGAATTAGCACTGATTCGATGCAAACTTACGACGCGATGACAGACCAATGGCTTAAGGTGAGTTCCACACAAATGCTCCTTGTTGAATGACGTCTGCAAAACATTTTCTCGTTGCTTATTTCATTACAAGTATTTGAACTCTGTTTGCCCATTATTTAACCTTAATTTATTTCCATTGCAGTGGAAGTTATTTTTAAACAAACAAATTACAGGCACGAGAATTAAACTGGATAAATAAATTAAATAAAATTTTCTCGTGTGTGAAATGTGTGTTCAAATTGGAGTCCACGAAATAGATTTTGTTCGCCACATTCAACATTTACCATAAACGTCCAACGTGGAATATTATAACGACTTGTCTGGTGGGTTTGGACCTTAATCGAAATTATTGTTATTTGCGATAATATTATTATAATTAATATTAGCCACAATTTCACGGTTGCTTCGCATTAAATTCGCACGACGTTTCTCGCGTGCGGAAGGCCGGGCCAGCCAGCACGGTGCAGAAATATTCGTCTGCTCCCTTGGTTGGCCAGAATCTTACGTAAAATGTTAAACTTTGGTGGACCTCACGGACAAAAGAATTATGTGCCCGTATTATGTCGTCGTTGTAGATCGAGGAGGGCGACCCGACCGGACCGCGAACTCGCCATGGCGTCGCGGCTGTCGGTTTTAACATTTACGTCATCGGTGGTTTTCACGACGATAAATTCTTGGACTCCGTCCGCTGCTTCAACGCAGTTACAAAGACATGGACCGAGGTGAAGCACATGATTGACTGCAGGTAAGACACGACTCGCAGACTAACGAAATCCGTCCTTCTTGAAAAGCTGGTAGTTGTTCTGCTAGTCAAGATATAAACCTGTATCGCTCACAAACAGGAGCATTCAGTACAGTACAAATAAAAGTACTTGCATCGGTGTTGGTTTTCGTTAAAACCCGAATAGAAGCCAGTTACTAATTTCGTTCTTAGCTTCTCCAGGAGATTTCTAAAAAGCCTTCGACTCTGTGAAGAGCGAAGTGTTTTATAATATTCTTATTGAATTTGGTGTACCAAAGAAACTGGTGAGTCTAATAAAATGTCCTTAAATGAAACCTGTAGCAAAATTTGTGTACTTAAATTTTTATCTGAGTCATTCTTCATCAAGAACGGTCTAAAACAAGGAGATGCTTTGTGTTCATCGCTATTTAACTTTGCGCTAGAATACGCCATCAGGAAAGTCCAAGGTAGGCAGGACGGTTTGCAATTGAACGGGACACATCAGCTGTTGGCATTTGCTGATGATGTTAATTTATTGGGGGACGATATAAATACAATAAAGAGGAACGCAGAAGTTTTACTAGAGGCTGGTAGACAAGTGGGGCTGGAAGTAAATTCAGAAAAAACCAAGTACATGTTGGTATCTCGTCATCAGACGACAGGATTATCTTAGGGTGGCTGATAAATCCTTTGAAAGGGTTACAAAGTT